CCCCACTGCCCCCTTCTCTGTCCCAGCTTATCCCCAGCTCCCCCCTCCCCCCGACTCACCCGCCTGTTTGCCCCCTGGTAGAGCTGCAGCAGGGTCCTGCCCACGGCACTCTGGGTGCTGTTCATGAGGGCGCGGCCGGACACCCAGCCGCCGGAGCGGGCATCCTGGTACATGTAGCGCATGCCCTCGGCCGGGGGGCTGTGCTGGGGCCGGGGCAGCTTGTAGGCCAGGAACCTGGGGGGGGCGAGGGGGGAACGGACCCTGTTAACCCTTTGGGGCCAGACCCCTGCCTGGGGGGGAGCCATACACAGGGAGCCCCAGCGCCTCCCCCGATGCCAGGAGCAGGGGTATCCTGGCACAGGTGCCATGGCGGAGATACCCGCCCAGCCAGCCCGTGGGGGGTGTGCTCCCAGCGAAGCCCCAGGGGCACGCTGTCCTTTACGGGGTGAATGGGGGGGTCTGGCATAGGGGGGAGGGGGGAACTCACCAGTCCACAGGCTGCCCGGCATCGTCATAGCAGGAGATGCCCCCCGCAGCCACACGGGGCAGGGGCAGGGCCATGGCCAGGATGAAAAGGGGCAGCATCCTGAGGGAGGGGGGGAAAGACACCAAGCAGGATCCGATGGGAACAGCCCCTGCAACGCACACAGGTACCACCGGGAGGCGCATGGGAGTCACACACGCATGTAGGCCCTACAAAAACAACCGCTTCCCACCAGGGTGGCACCGGCAGGGGATGGGGGGCTGGTGGGTCAAAGCAGGGACGAGGCGGGGAACCAGGACTCGGGGGTTCTCTGAGAGGGGTGGGAGGACCTAGTGGTTAGACAGGAAGGTTGGAACCCAGGACTCCTGGGGCTGGACGGGATCTGGTGGGTGAGAGATGGGGTCGGGGCTGGGAGCCAGGACTCCTGGGTTCTAAGCCTGGGTCTGGGAGGGGAGTGGGGTGTGGGATCTGGGGTCTGGTGGGTGAGAGCCAGAGGCAGGGCTGGGAGCCAGGACTCCTGGGTTATAAGCCTGGGTCTGGGAGGGGAGTGGGGTGGGGTCTGGCGGGTGAGAGCTGGGGGCAGGGCTGGGAGCCAGGACTCCTGGGTTCTACGCACCACTGATGTCTGGGTGAGCCAGGGGTGCCTGACTCGGGCCCTGGGCAGGGGGCTCCCAAACTGGAGGTGTCCAGAATCAGTGGGGAGCTCAAGCCGGGGGCTCTTTAGCCCCCCCCCGGATCATTTGAGTGGCTTGTCTGCAGGCCCCTCGGTGGGGCCAACGTCCTTCCGGGGATGAGGCGCCCTGGGCCAGTATCACAAACGGAAGTGGGGGAGGGGGGCCCGGCCCGGCCCTGTTCCCAGCACTCACGCTCCCGTCCCAGCCCCGAGTTCCTCAAACCAATTCCTCTTTCTGTGCCAGTGGCTCGGGGGGAGGGGACCGGACAAAGCAAAGCAGTGCGGGTGGGTCCCTTCTGCGCCCCACCCCAGAGGTAGCTGCATCTCAGCACTGGGTGACGGATCCCAGCATGCCCCACTTGGCCTTAGAGGGATCCCCCCTTAGGGGCAGAGTGGGGGGCTCATCGGCAAGGCCGGCTCCCTCCCCAGCCTCTGCTGACGCTGCTGTGAAAGCGCAGAGCGAACCGGCTGGGGGAGCCCAGCCCCAGACGCCAGCCAAAGCGCGAGTGCAGGCAGGTCGGG